TCTCATGTTGTATGCTATGGCACCAATAATTATCGAATTGGTAAAATCTTGAACTTCATATTGTCAATTTCCAATTAGGAGTTTTGCTATTGTGTTTCAGATTATAACTACCTTTAGTGTAGTGGATCACATGAGAGAACAACTGTAACACCCATCGCCTAATCCTGGAGGAATAGGCAGTGGATGCCACATTTGGTACCAGAGGTACCTTTCTAAAATACGGATTGAAATTTTATAAGCGAAAGATATGGGTAATTTTTTTTAATTGTTTCGAGTATTACAAGTCCGGCGAGTCCATGGTTTTATTTAGAAAATGATTTGATTAATTATACAAAACCTCGGGGACGAAAAAAATATGTTTCCTTAATTAAGAAGACTTTTGGCGTAGCAAATTTATCTCCAACACCGAAGTTGTAAATTCGTCTTTCATAAATATCTCCAAAATAAATGTCCAGTTATTAATATTTTCTTTGCTTTTAACTGTTTATTACCGATTCAAGAAAATTTAATTGCTAGTTGCCAAGCACTCTATAATATGTTTGCAGTCACCTGAGAAAATATATTTTTTTATTTTCTTTTTATTAATTAGAGGGCATTTGTTTAGGGGTAGATAAACTTCGATAATTACCGATTTATATAGCCGAACCAAGGTTATTTGATAAATGATTCGTTAAACCAGTAAAGGGTCGATAAATTATTTAGACAAAATTCGATAAATGGGAAATGGTATGATAAAATACCTTAACAAATTCAGAATTCTCGATTTACCAATTTTCTCCAAAGGTCAATTCTTATATAGTAAAGTGATCAATTTAGTAAATCAGTCGGTAAATAGTAAAACTCTATCAATGTAGCTAACGGTTCAACTAAATATTTAGAAGTCAATAATTGAATTCTTATTAAAGATTTGAGATATTTAAAAAATGGGGTACTCCAAGATAATGATTAGATTGCTAAAAACAAATATGTCCAGTTATTAATATTTTGTTTGGTTTTAACCATTTATTGCCAATTCAAGCAAATGTAATTGCTAGCTGCCGAGTACTCTATAACTGTTTGGAGCCGCCTAGAAAAATATATTTTATTGATTTTCTTTTTATTAATTAAGAAGTCATTTAGTTTAGGGATTAAAAAACTTCAGTATGTAATTGCTGATTTACCTATCTGAACCAAGGTTATTCAATAACAATGATCGATAAATCGATTAATGATCAGTAATTACTTAGATAAAATTCGGTACATGTTATTCAGTAAAATGCCCCAAATAATTCAGATTTCCATTTTACCGATTTCCTTAAAATGCCAACCCTAGCATGGTAAATCGATCGATTGGAGACCGTAAGAATTTACATGTAAATCGGTGATTGGTAAATATATAAATCAGTCAGTAAATTATAAATATTCAATTGGTCAATACAAATTTTCTAAACGCTTAACCAAATCGATGGAATGTCTATTCATAGTTTGGTTCAGTTGATTGATGCAACTGACATTTCAGTTAAACAATTAGAAGTCAGTAGTTAAATTTTTACTAATGATTTGAGATATGTAAAAATATCGAGTACCTTCAAGATGATAATTACAATGTTAAAAGCAAATATGTCTAGTTAATAATATTTTCTTTGCTTATAATTGTTAATTGCCAATTAAAGAAAATTTAATTGCTAGCTGCCAAGCACCCTTAACTGTTTGTAGCCACCCAAAGAAGATACCTTTTTCGATTTTCTTTCATTAATTAAAAGGACTTTTGGTTTCAAACACTTAAGTTTTTTTTGTTAGTTGCCAAGCACTCCGTAATCATGTTAACAGTCAACTAGGAAAATAATTTTTTTGATTTTCTTTTTATTGATTAGAGGGCATTTAGTTTAGGGGTAAACAAACTTCGGTAATTATCGATTTATAGAGTTGAACAAAGGTTATTCGTTGAAAATGATTCGGTAAATCGGTAAACATTCAGTAAATGGGAAATTATATGGTAAAGTACCTAAAAAAATTCAGAATTCTCGATTTACCAATTTACTCCAAACGGCAACACTTGTATAGTAAATTGATTAATTTAGTAAATCTGTTGGTCAATAGTAAAACTCGATCAGTACTCTGTAACCGTTTACAGTAGCCCAGGAAAATGTATTTTATTAATTAAGAAGGCGTTTGGTTTAGGGATTGATAAACTTTGATACGCAATTACTGATTTACCAATCTTAATCAAGGTTATTCTGTAAAAATGATTGATAAACCGGTTAACGGTCACTAAATTATTTAATAAATCATTATGTAAATTTTAAATGGTTCAGTAAAATGGCCAAAAATTTTGGAATTTTTGTTTTACCGACTTCCTTAAAGGCCAGCCCTTACATGGTAAATTGATCAAGTCGGAAATAATAAAACTTTACCTGTAAATCGGTGAACTTCTAATTCGACAAATGTGTAAATCAATCGGTAAATGATAGATATTCAATCGGTCAATATAAATTCTCTAAACAGTTAACCAAATAGACTGATATCCACCAGTAGTTTGATTCATTTGATAAGTCCAACTGACAGTTCAGTTAAACAATTAGAAATCAATAGTTAAATTTTATTTGAGATATTTAAAAATAGGTTTAAACTGCAAAATTGCCCTCAACTTTAAAGCTTTTTGCAAAATCAATTTTTTTTGACCTTTGTATTCCGGACACTCTAGTTTTGAAATTTAGATATATTAATACTCAAAATTTGAAAATGACCTAAGTTTTGAATAAAATGTTATATTAATGGGACTCATCGACTATCCTTGGTTAACTTAATCCAAGAACTAAAACGCAGTGTTTTAGTAAAAAAAATAAATAAATAAATAACACTTTGTTGTTCCCAAAGTATCATCTCCATCGATCGGTGGTTATCATCCATGGATTTTATGTTTAGTTAGGTCAAGAATTGGAGTAATTATTCTCAAAATGTTCTTAGCATCTGCTTCCAAATTGGTTCCACTCAATTATTTTTGTTTTTCCATTCTATTCTCAGTGTCGTAATTACTACGGCCTCCAACACCAGGTGACCTTATCAAGAATTGTTGCCTTCTCAACACAGCCACTACTCCAACATCCATTGACTCCTCTGCTGCATAGGTTAGTCTAGAAAGTCAGTAAATAAGAATTGAGTTTCCTGCAAAACCCCAAGAAACAAATCTCGACAAACAAAAATAGAAAGTCTTACTAGATTTTGTACTGGACAGATTAGCATAGTGGTTGTGTTAACAAATCTTGACAAACAACAATATTACATCTAGTAAACTATGTTTGAATAGACACCTCATGTCCAATACCCACTGTTGAGAAGGTGAAAGAGATGGAGAGTGCTAAGATGGTGCAGTTCCAGGTAGTGGTGGTGGGTTGTACAGGAATTGGCTGGAGTACCACGTGTCTTTTGGAGGAAGTGGGATTAGAATAAAAAAAAAACGATGCGCTTTGGTTAATTTTTGTTTTTAGGTTAAATTTAACTCAAAGGTAGTCTAGTGGGTCCCATTTTATATTATTTAAAACAAAATTTAGGTTAAATTTTAATATGGTTTGATAATATATCTCGGTCGTAAATTGAAGTGTAAGAAGGACAAAAGTCATTTTAAAGTGACATTGCAACAGATAGTAAAATTCATTGTGTATTTATTGGTTAAGCCTTTTAAAATATGTCTTATTTGAAGATAATAATTAGATACTAGTAATTAATATTTTATTTTCTTTTAACCATTTCTTATCAATTCGAGAAAGCATAATTGCTAACTACCAAGCACCCTGTAATGGTTTGCAGCCACCTGGGAAAATACATTTTCTTATTTTCTTTTATTAATTAAAAGGCGGTTGAATTCAACTGATTTATACAGTTGACAGTTCACTTTGATGTTTGAATTCATATTAATAAGTTGAGATATTTAAAATATGAGGTAATTCAAGATGATAATTTGAATCTTAAAAACAAAGATGTCTAGTTATTAATATTTTCTTTACTTTTTACCGCTAATTATCGATTCAAGAAAATTTTAATTTCTAGCTACGGAGCAAAACGTAAACGTTTACAGCCACCTAAAAAACATAATATTTTCGTCTCATTTTATTTGCATGGTTTGACAAAACACGCATATTAAAAATTTAGTGAACAAAAATTATTTTGTTCTTTTTTCCCCTTAATAACTCATTAAGATACTAAAAACTCTTCATTCAATCAACAATTATAAAGGTTACTATGGGAAAAATAATTGTTTACATGTTTAAATTTAGAAACCTTGCAAATATTTGGAACATAAAAAAAAAGAATAATAAGCAAACAAAATAAGACGGAAATAATATTTTTTTTTTTTTTTTTTATCAACAATTATAAAGGTTACTTTATGGGAAAAATAATTGTTTTACATGTTTAAATTTAGAAACCTTGCAAATATTTGGAACATTAAAAAAAAAAGAATAATAAGCAAACCAAAATAGGACGGAAATAATATTTTTTTTTTTTTTCGGTTTTCTTTTATTAATTAAGCAGCGTGTTGATTCAATTTAATAAAAAAAAAGAATAATAAGCAAACAAAATAAGACGGAAATAATATTTTTTTTTTTTTTTGGTTTTCTTTTATTAATTAAGCAGGTGTTTGATTCAATTAATTCATGCAGTTGACAATTCAACTAAATAATTAGAAGTCAGTAATTGAATTCTTATTAATAATTTGAGACATTTAAAAATATCGCGTACCTTTAAGACGATAATTAGGTGTAAAAATAAAATATGTCTAGTTATTAATATTTTCTTTGTTTTTAACTGTTAATTGCCAATTAAAGAAAATTTAATTGCTAACTGCCAAAAACCCGATAACCGTTCGTAGACACTCTGAAAAATACCTTTTTCGATTTTCTTTTATTAATTAAAATGATTTTTTCGTCCCCAATAATTAAGTTGTAAATTCGTCTTTCATTAATCAAAATTTGATTTTAATTCAATTTTTTTTTTTTATTTTAGTGTCTTAGGAACAACTCTAATATTTTTGAATGAAAATTATTCTTGTACTTCCAAAACTCACTTTATGAGTACATATAATGATTTTGATAACTTAACCAAAATAAAGAAGATGGCAATCACAGACAGGGCAGCGATGGACCATTTCAGGCAGAAGCAAGTAGACCAGAGGGCCACAACAATGAGCTTTTATCATGAAAGGTGGGTCTTGCTCGTATTGCCTTCTTTCACTGAAGAGAGAATGCTGATGGTCACAGTGGCGGCAGCACCGTCCGGTCAGGTCAAACCACATGTTGCTCCGGTGAAACAGACCTCCTCCTAGATTCACTCTAGTCCTTAGATCAATTACAATTGTTTCATTTAAGGCGTTCTTGTAGTACAGTATCTGGTCCTGCAAAAATAATTGAACTACTCAAAATAAATATATAATTAGCACAATTCAATTGTCTGTAGATGGTGCATGCATGTGTATGAGAAAACAGACCCTACCCTAGCATCAAAGCAGCGTTCCCATGGGAAAGGAACAGAAGCTTCAGGGCTGGATTGAAGGAAATACCAGAGAGTAAAAACCATTTTAGCTGCAGAAATACAGCTTACAGTGAAATGATGTTGTGATAGGAATGAAGAGGCGAGGGGCCTATTATAGGAAAAAAATCTGAGGGCTGAGTTAATTTATTGCTTGACTCGGTTGTGCTTATCCGAGTTATGGATTAGGAGACTCGTTAGGGTTTGTTTGGGATTAAGAACAAAACCTTCTCTTAATTGTACTGTTCATTTATTCAAACTAATTATGATATAGGAGACAAGGCTCTTCCTTTTTTGGTTACACAAATAATTTTTCTTACTTACCACCAAATCCCTAAACTTTTCTCTATCTATCCGTTACTAAAAATACGTCCAGATTCAAATATCTAAAATCGGTTAAATCTCAGAAAGATAGATTTCGCTTTTTGTCATGAATGTTATGTAGCACTAATGACAGGCTTGACTTACTAAATTGACGAAAAATCATATGGTCAAGAGGTCATAAACTCGAGACATTACACTCCTCACATTAGTAAGAAACCAATCAAACACATTTGATTGACATTTTCTTTTCTACTTTTGTATATCTTTTTCCCTTAAATCTAGTGTTCTATTTTATTTTGTATTTTTTTTTTCTTTTTAAATTCATCGACTTTTTGGTCTGTTCAAATTTGAACAGTCTCTATCCAGTGCAAGGTTGATTTATCCTCATTTTATATGGAGTTTTTTTCTTGTATTGGCATGCAACATACAAAGTAACTAGTTCTCGAATAATCAATTCAGATAAATAAGATACAAAGAGTTTGTCTAATCAATCATTTTAAAGATTTATATATATTATCAAGCTCAACATCTAGTTTTTATAATGATTTATTACAGGGATGGCAAAATCAATCCGACCCAATGGGTAGACACCTAGGGGCGAAGGGAGGGGGACTGGGGGAAGCCTAGGGCCCCAACCTTTAGATATTTTTTAAATTTTGGTTTGTAATTTAGTAAAAAAAAAAATATTTTTCTTCACTTTGGTTTCCTAACTTTTAAAAGATTTACGTTGGCCCCTCCAAATTCTAAAATCTAACTCTACCCCTGTATGCACCCAACAAGAATTTAATTAAACCCGAATTTTAGGGTTTCGACTAGGTTTGGATAGGGTCTGGGTAGAACTCGAATGTTTTGTTTTTGGTATGGGTAGGATATGAGTATTGCTATTATAAACCTGAACCTGATTCCAAATCTGAACCTAAAATTCAAATCCTGAGAGATTTTTTTTTAAAATTATAATATGAAATTTTTAATAAATTAGGTTACTTGTAGTAAATTATCTATATAAATTGGTTTACTTTTAGTTTAATGTTGTGTTGTGTGGTGCAAAACAAATTTATTCTAACTTTCATATATTAATTTGAATTGGTCAAATTTTTAAAATTTTAGATATTAAAATTTAAAAATAATTTCTAATATTTGATTTAAACTTTAATTTCAAATAATCAATAATGGAGAAACAACGTAATAAAAATACTGATTTAGAGTGTTAAGATAATAATATTTTATGCTTAGAGATTGGAGAGTCCGTTACTATTACATAGTAAAGTATTATGATAAGAAAAACAACTTTGGAGTTAAAATTATAGTTTATCATTGTCCGAATATTTATGCATGTATCAATTTATTTTCATATTTTTTATGTATTTTATGAATTATTTAGATAAATATTTTGATATTTTGGTTCATTATAATCTAATTTTTAAATAATATGAGTAAATAAATAAATGGATATCTGTGGATATAAATATTCATAGGTACTTACGGATAATGGATACCCATGGATACATCGGAACCCATTGAATTTAGAGATGCATAGCACATTTCTTATCCAAGATGGCATTAGATAGGATATGGGATTGAGGATTGAATTGGGCTTGGGCATGGGTATTGCACTACCCAACCCCAATTCTACTCATTGTCATCCCTAATTTATTATAAGATTAATTTATTAGCTGTTTGTACGTACTTGTTGGAATTTGGTTATATATATATATATGTATATATTAATCTGTTTGTACGTACTTGTTGGAATCTGGTTATATATATATATATATATAGCAACAGCAATTTATAGCTAGACTCAGGCTCACGGATTAAAATAATATATTTAAATATAGATTTAATTAATTTTTAACTCTGTGACTTTAGTTCAGCTCGATAAACAAGTCAAAATAATGTCATTTGAATATAGTTGTAATTCATTTTTACTTATTAAGTTAACTTGTGAATTCGGACCGACTCGATAAAGCTGGCTTGCGCGAGCTAGAACTTCATTCATTTATTAAACGAACTCTACTGCTCTGCTCAATAAGCTTATTAAACAAGCTGGAGTAAACTTTTATCAAACCGAGTCTCAAGAAGATCATATAATTTAAAAAAAAGCCATGAGTGTATTTATGCATCTATCCTTTGTCCTTATTTCTTAAATTACCTTTAACATGTTAACATCATTTGAAAAAACATATAATTATATACGTATTTTTTTATTAAAGAGCATATAAACATACAAACTATCAATACAACAAAATACTTGATTATTAGGAATTTGATAAACAAATATTACGAAAGTCGTGAAATGATGGAAGTTTTTCACATCTTATAGAGAATAAATTAGCTGGGAAAAAAAAAAAAACTTGATCTAGAGATGTGAGAGTGATGCTTGCGGGATGAGAGAATTGCTGAAGACAACCATTACAGAGAGAAACGTTGGAGAAATTCCATCACAACTGATAGAATTATTTGAAATAGTTATGATAAACTGCATAGAATGAGTTTGTTATTTTGTGAAATTGGAAGCGAGAATTGGCCAACTGATAGAATTTATCCGTTTACTTATATAAATTCCGTTGTTTAGGAACTACAGAAAAATAAGCCAATTTGTAAAATATTTTTTTAATTAAAGAAAAATTAAATTATTTTTAAGGAAAATGACTTTCCATTTGCAAGATCGATAAAATGATAACTATTTTTTTTACATTTTTCTTGTGTCTAACAATAAAGTTATACGAAATTGTTATTATTATAAATAGTTTTATGATCATGGGAGTTATAAATTTTAATATTTTTTTGACTAATTTTCATTACTGTAATAGAAAATAAGTTATTTAAAAAATATTTTTAAAGGGCTAAAAAATATTTTTTAAAAATAAGTTATTTTCTGGAAAAGAAGAGCCTAAATATATAAAATTTCATTTGCATTTCTTATAAAATCCAAATCCTCAAAATTTAGAAAAAGTGCAGCCTAATAGCCAGTTTTATAATTTTAATGATTAGTGTAACCATTAAGATTAGTTTTGTAAATTTTGATAATATTATATATTTCGATATTAATATCAATAATTCTTAAGTTTTTTGCATAATTTTTAAATAATAATTTTTAAAAATTTCAAATAATTTTTATTAAATATTCAATTAATCTAATTTTACAAATTGAACTAAAATGTTTAATAAAATAAATATAAAAATCAAAGTGTTTAATATATATAATTTTATAAATTAAAATATTTAATATATCAAAATAAAAATTAAAATTGCCACAAACTTCTAGGGAATATCCGGCCTATGAAAATTTCTCCATCGTATTCCCCGTTATATAGCATGGGAAGAATATTATTTTAGAAACGATGTAAGAAGTACAACGGGGCGTACAGAGGCTGCAAATACTTTGGTTTCTATTCACAGCTTAAATGATTTGTCGTCACATGCTATTCAAAGCAACAGGAACTTCAAAGCGGAGGCCAAACCAAAATTTCACCAAGTTCGCACCATCCAACTAAATACTGAATTTCAAAATTTAATAGTAGCCAGTGATCTTAAAATAGAAAGCCAAAGATGATACTAATTAATCCTTACCGTTAGCAATAGGAATCAGTTGATTCATTCGTATTGCACTTGCCCTTCAACTAGTGTGTAAATAAAGTTTTCAACAAAAAACTGTTCTCAGATTCTAGAGAAGGGGGGGGGGGGGGGGACTTGCCCTTCAAAACTAGTGTGTAAATAAAGTTTTCAACAAAAAACTGTTCTTTCAGTTCTAGAGAAGGGGGGGGGGGGGGGGGGGAGGGACATCTAACTAGCAAATGCGCCGTGTTCATACCTCCTCGGTTCAATTGCAGACAAGCTATTGATTAGTTTCTCAACTGAAATATTTAACGCCTCTTCTTGCTTGCTTTTGCAGCACTGGAAGGGGAAGCAACCAGGTATATGAACAGAACCATAATAGAGATGACAGAAATTAGAGACCCGTATTTTGCCAATAACCTCTGCAAAATGGACAATAGGGGATTAAGAGAAAAGAACGGCGATTCTCGAGAAATAAATAAATAGTCATGAGGGAAAGAAGTGTTCTTTTTTTTTTTTTTTTTTTTTTTTTTGTTTTTTTTTTTTTTTTTTTTTGTTCTTTTTCTGGTTCATGACTACATTTTTTGTCATATCATACACATGCCAAACAAAAAAGGTAATAAAGAAATCATTTAGGTGATCCCCAGGAGATGTTGGCAATATATAATACTAAATTGATTCTGATGTTTTATGTTCATGACCAGTAACAGTTAGTATGGGTAAATCTGCTTGACAAAAGAATCATATACAGGTTTATTTTGCCGACTTCACATCATTCCTGGTTTGTTCAAGTTTCAGGATGTATATTTTAGTAACCATCAGAAACTAAAGACCGAGAAAAGAAGAAGATGACTCGTACCTTGGCCTGCAAAGTTCAGCCCAATCCCAAAGCAATTCCAAAGAGCAAGAAGGCAAAAGAGAAAAAAAAAAAAAAACAGAAAAAAAAAAATATATAACAGTGAGACGTAGAGAGAAGCGATCAGACCTAATGGGAAAATATAATCATCAACTTAATGGTGTAGGTGTATAAACTCAAACCCAAAAAAAGAAAAAAAAAAAAAAACAGAGAGAGAGAGAGAAGCATCAGACAAATGGGAAATATATAATCAATCACTTAATGGTAGGTGTATAAACTTATTAACATTCAAGCAACCGGCTTACCCATTCAAACTTCTTTTCAGGAGGTCTCTCAGCAAGGACGTCCAAGGGCTGTATGGGAGTTGAAAGTGCCTCCTATAACCAACAGTCAGAAAATGAAAACTAAGTGCCAAGTGCCTACCTAACAGAAAACAAAATAGTAATAGGATGTCAAACCTGTAGAGCTGCCTTGGTGGGGACACGGAATGTAATGAGAGCTGGGGAACCATAAAAGATTGCTTTCACTTTACCCTCCAATTCAAAAGAGTGTGAGAGGATGCCACCACTGCTTGCAAAATATTAAACCTATTAAGGAATCGACAAGGCAAAATTTAATAATATTACAGAAAAATCGTACTTACGCATCAAGCCTTTCCCATGACTTTGAAGTGTTGCCACTGATGACATCAAATAAATCTTCAGGCCAGTCCTTATCAACAAGACTAACATCATATGCAGTCCTGGAAATTTTGCAGAAGAAAACAATAAATAAATAAATTAAAAAAAAAGGTAGACAATATATGCTCATTTTATGCAAACAATAAAAATTAGACATACGTCAATAGATAGCACCCAAATGGATTCATACAAGGAATAAACTATCTAGAAGTGCAAAAGGTATAAGCAGGTCTATTGGGCTTACTAAGATTGCTACTTTATTCGAGGAACTTAAACAAATCTTTCGCATAGACACCAATAACTGTTCAGTTGACACTATTCAATTCCATGCAACAGCAACATAGTTTACACCAATAACAACTAAATTTTAATCCCAAACAAGTTGGAATCGACTATATGAATCCTTTGTTTTCATTCTGCTTTGTTCATAATTAAATCCATTCTAATGTCAAAAAGTAGTAGATCTTTTTAAGAGAACTTCCCTCTACGTAGTTCTAAGTCTATCTCTTTTCCTTTTAGCACCCTCCACCATCTGCATAGTACATGACCAAAACTCCTTTGAACACAAAATACAAACAGTGATGTGCAAAATAGTATACAATTGAGGTGTAATATGACCATCTGAAGCTACACAATTCATGATCTTCGAAATTTCAGTTTATTTGTTTCCATGCAAAAACCTCATCAACCCCGCGCCAGCAGCACCTTCAGTACAAGTGAACAGCAAAAGGAAAACATGGTAAAATGTAGGTCGATGATCGTTTCTCTGGGTTAAATGGCAGTAATGCTCCACCACAGTGACAGTTAAACCTACTCTATACCTAGTATATTTTCTTACTTGATCCAGCTTTCCCCATGGTTCTTAGATGCAGATGATATGGCTCCACCAAACTTAAAATTACAATAGAAACATCCAGTCAAAGAGAAAACCATTTCATATGTATGAGTGAGTCTCATATTCATAATTTTACTTTAGACTTGTAGTATCGAGCAAATGCCAAGCATACAATCAGTTTAACACAATGCCTTTCAATTGTTTACAACAGTGACACTTAAACACAGACATCAACAGCTAGGTATTTAAAAACGATATATGAGCCAAATATAAATAGAGTCCAGAGATGAAACCACTGTTTTGTGACATATGTTAAAAAGCTTATTTAGTCTCTATCCATTAGAGAGCTCGAAGCTCTTATCACCTCAGCTAGATCATTGCATTACCTAATACTGACCACAGGTCAATAACTAAGCTCAATTCCGTTCACCAATCATTTTTTCTTGAACAGATCCAAACACCCCCATCTTGTTTAAGAACAAAAACTGCTCATCCTATTGTTTACTATGCTTGGTTGAACTTGCATTTCAATCCAACGTTAATTCCTCTTTTTATTGAATATTTTTGCTCGTTGATTACACATCAAAAAAATATCAATTACCCGTAGATTACAAAAACTTCAATTACTGTTCTCCAACAACCAAACAAATAATAACTCAAAAAATCGCCATTGAAAGGCAAGTAATTCAACTAAAGAGCAAGTCAGTAAAAAGGAATATAAGAGAAGGTCAATTGAATCTGTAACGAAAACGAAAAGCAATAATAGAAGCTTAGATCTGATCAGACAGTTTCGAAAAACAAATAAATAATCAAAGGTGATATTAAAAATGAAAAGACTCACGAAGTTCCTTGGTTGTAGATATCGACCGATACGGAGACCCGTTCGGCGCCGGATTTGAGCCTGTTGAGAGTGGCCTTCTTGTGAGCTACGATGAAGGGAACATCTGAGCTAGCGAGCGATGATGAAATCAAGAAGAGAGCTACCAGTAGAGAGATTAGTGGTTTGACTACCGGATTCGCCATTGATTAACGGTTGCTGGGAGATTGTGCTGGTGGTGGCGATAGGAGGTTTTTGATGCAGATTTTTCGACCAGATCGAGAAATGTGAAGGCTCAACACCAACAAGGACTAAAAACGACTAGGTTGCGTCGCGTGGCGAAGCATAATTGGGCACATAAGCCTCAAGGACCATTTGGTTGTTTTTGCATTCCAAACGACATCGTATCAAAATAAAAAACGTTAACGTTTTTAAACTTCGTTCAATCACAAAAACATTGTGGCCAATTTAGTCCTTGACTTTTTATTTTAGAGTTAATTGAATCCAATCTTGTTTAAGAGAATAAAAAAATAATTATTATTCTTCAAAAAAAACCAATTATTAAATTAGAAAATAATCAAAATTATTTTATATTTTACAGAAAACTAAATACGAAAGAGAAAAATATAGTAGTTCCAAGAAAATCAGCAACATATGAGTGTTTACAAATTGAAAATATGGAAACAATTAAAAATATATATTCAGTAGAAATTTTGAAAAAACTGTTTGATAACCAAGAAAGTTGAGAAAAAAAATAAAATATAAAAAATTTATAATTTTCTGATACATTGAGAGGAGAAAAAAAATAAAATAAACTAATTATTATACTATCTAGGATAATATACACGAGCAATATCGTAAAGAAACTGTAAAGAGATTAACAATGTATTAATATTATTATATTTATTTAAATTAACAATGTATTAATAATATTATTACATTTATTTATTTTTTAAGTATTAAATATAGAATTAGTTTTATAAATAAAAAAATTAATTTAATATTTTTTAAAATTTAATTTAATATTTTTTAAAAAATACCTATTTAATTTTTTCTCTTGTTAGTATTATTGTATATAAGTATGAATCTCAAAATTAAAAAAAAATGTACAAAATAACTAATATTATTCACTATAAATATTTTTTAAAAAATATATTTAATTATTTTTTCTCTTTAGTATTATTGTATATAAGTATGAATTCTCAAAATTAAAAAAAAAAATGTAAAGAATAACTTTAATATTATCACTATTAAAATGATATGACCTTTAGACTCTCACTAAACATACTATTATGTACATGAGCAATTTATTTTATATATCTTTTTTTTTTAATTCTGCTTTACTTGATTTTTAACTATAATATATTTCAAGAACTATTGAATGTGATTAAAATTATTAAAATAAATTTCATCAATAAAATATTAAATAAATAAAAAATAATTTATAGAGAGAGAATGGAGAGAAAATAAAAAATTGTATGAATGAGAAAAATAAATATATTTAAACATAATGATATATTAAATATGAAGTTTTTTCCATTATAATTAATAATATTAGAAAAAAAAGAAATTAGTTGTTAGAGTCGGATCCAAAATTCAAAATTCCTGACGAGTTTTGATTTGGAAAAAACAATAAGCCCACATGATGAGTTCGGGCCGAATTTTAGCTCGCATGTAAAGGCTTAGGTCCGGCGTAATCCGAACCAGACAATTGTCCTTTATTTTATATGCATTCTCACTTGAGTATTCTCTTCGTTATTGCTGCCAAAAGTTTCTGCTATGATTGGGCTATTATGCGCATTATGCAATGCACATCATTTTGGTTGTCGATAATGAAATAGCTGAATATAATAGGCAGTTAGGCACGTTATATGGCTTTATCTTCAACATGGAACCCATCATATTTGTTTCAGTTGAAATGGATTTTGGATAAGGAAGAGGAACCCATCAATGCCTCTAGGCTAGCTGAAAATGATGGAAATTGATCGAATCACATCCTTGTGTTGGGTTTTGTTTGCCCTTATGAATTATTATACGTGTACTGTAATATTCAAAGAAATCTAAGCATGTCCTCTATGTTGACATAGCACACTATCCGGAGTGAACACCATCTAATTAATAGTGGTTTAAATTGATTTAAAAATTATAATTATAATTATAATTTATAAATTGTTCAAATTAAATTAAACGTATTTATAGTTTGATTCTTTTAAGATAGTTTGTAACCATTTATGCAGATTTAAAAATTGCTTACAGTAAAGGTAACAGTAATTTTGTTGTGCCTATAACTCATCCTTTGGCAACAGTAATTTTGAATATTCAAAGCTTGTTGTTGTGTGACTATAGTTGTTCTTTGGTAGGTTGGGTCGCTCTATCTCATCCTGTTGAGATAGTTCCTTTTTCTCTTTTTTTATTAAAAAAATATGTGACTGACCAATTCAAGGCAAAAAGTAATGGATAAATTTACTTATTAACTATTACATTTATCAAATTGTATTTTTCCACGAATGAGTATATACCACTGTGCATTTCTTCTCAAGGAGAGAAGGCCTAGCATGAAGGACAAGAGCCTTTTCGATTAGCTAAGGAGACTGCCTAGGAACAAAAACAAGAATTTCTACTTATTTTTGAAGAATTAAGTTGCAGGCAAGTCATCATTGGCTACCAAACCATACTCTTATCTTCATGTAAGTCCTGTCTCCTACATATACTTTTTGCGTTTTCAACTCTAAATTTTATGTTTTTCGTTAAATAAATTACATATCTATGTCTATTATAAGATAAATTTATGTTATTTATGTTTTTGTTATTGTTTATGTTTTATCTCCATTTGGTGCGGAGTTTATGATCTCTTCATTTTACATGGAGTATTTATTTTATTTTTGCATTTGTTTGGTTTTATTTGAACATGTGTGCATTTGTGGAGAATATTTCAATTATACAATGCGGCTTGTTCCTCCATTAAATTTAGTAGTTCAAATCCTCTGTGTTTGTCATAGGCAACTGGTTCATAAATAATTAGCCCATGTATAGATGATTCAAGGGAGTTTACCTAACCAGCCACTTTTGTAGATTTATCAGCTTTTGTTCAAGTTCACCTTCCTATTTTCATTAAGATTTCTTTTTAGATCAGTGAACAATAATTATTTTAGTTATAATAGTTTTTGTTTTATGTCTAGTCTTCGAAAGAGATGTCATATTCTCCTCGTATTATTTGTATGGATTTGAAATTTTTTAATGAAATCCTAATAAAAATTAATTCCAACTCTAATTTCCAAAAAAAAAAAAAGAAGAAGACAAACCACCGCTAAGTGTGGATAAAGTGATTTTCTAAGTGTCATGATCATGAAATTGGCAGAAAAAAGAACAATGAGAAATTGAACAAATGTTGGTAAATATGATCCACATAGCACCTTTGAAAAATTTTGATCCACTACACCTATATTTATCCTATGTATAGTCAAAAGGAAAAGAAAATACCCAAAATTTGAGTTTGTGGATTGGATGGAGAGGGCTGTCTCCATGGATACACAACCTCATATTGGCTTGTAAAATACTAAATCAAATTTAACCGTCACAGTTTGATTTGGTAAATATTTTTCTGAAATCATACTCATGAAATTGGCATTGAATTAATTGAAACATGTAATAATTTTTATTAGTTGAAGAAAAAAAAAGGAATATTTGAAATGAAGTTTTGTCCCATGCACTATAGCTTGAAGAACTCTCCTAAATGACTGATATATTCAAGTTGACCTGTGTCTGTTTAAATAGCTTTGGTTAATCCTGTCTTTTTTTTATAAGAATCAATATGGTGTTGACTTTAATAATTTAATAAATAATAAAAATAAAGAATAGACAGAAAAAAAATGAAGACAATGAGAATACTTTCGCCATTTCTCCTTATGGCCCCTTGAACTTTACGGGGGATTCTATCGTGACCTTGTACTAACAAATCCTTCAATAACTATACCCCTCGCCAAAATGTTAAAAAGAGGTGAAACACACGCGCGATGATGTGGACTGAGCAATAACATGCATAATCTGTTAGCTCAAGGTTCAATTTATCTTAAGATTTTGATAATTAAACAAATCAAATAAATTTAATATTTTTGTATGTACTAAAGTTATTTTATGCAAAATTTTAATATTGAAGAAATCAAGCTCCTACAATCCAAGATTTTTTTTTTTTTTTTATTGAAGACCATGAAGATGATAGAAGATCTTTTAGTGGTTATTATTTTATTAAGTCTTAGGAAATATTATAGGATAGAGAGAAAATTCCATTATATGCACAAAATATCTTGTATCTCTCTTAAAATTATTTTTGAGATATTCTCAATAAATGCCTTAAAAGGAAAAGCCCAAGTCATTTTCTTCTATGTTTACCTAAATGGAAAAGATTTTGGAAAAAATATTTTTGGTAACTATTAAATGAGTTTCTGTAAAAGTTACCCATGCATTGACTTTTTATTTTTAAATATCAGAAAGATTTTCTGCTCATTAAAAGTCAAATCTCAACATCTTTTACAATGGATTTTCATCCCTCTTATAAAAACATTTCTCTCTTTCAAAAATGGCATTAATAAGAGTAAGAGTCTATTGTTCAAAATTTTAGATCTCAAAGCTCTCTCTTAAAACCACCTTTAATTCTTTTTATCTATTTTCTTCAAGAGAAAAGAAATCAAGTAATAACTCTTTCTGAAGAACAGTTCTGAAATTTCTTTCTGTTTTTTGTTCTTCCTGTGCTTGTAATTGCGTTTCTCTCTATCTATATAGATTGTTGTAATCTAGTGTAGACTACAGGTTTTTTAAACGAAAAACATTGTGTAATAGCTTAGGTGAAAAGTTATGATGTAAAAGGTTATCAAGCGATCTTCTCCTTGTGTGAGATTCTAATGTCTTGATCTGAGTTGGTTTTTTAAACGAAAAACAATTGTGAATAGCTTAGGTAATGAAGTTATGATGTACAAAAGGTTATCAAAAAGCGATCTTCTCCTTGTGTGAGATTTCTAATGTCGTTGATCTGAGTGTTTTTTGTACTTTTGCAAAACAAAACGGGTAAGAGATTGATTTGGAACCTTCAAGAAAATCTTATTGGCACAAATGTTAGCTCTAGGTGGTTGATATATTCTTGTAAAGTTGTTGCTCTTACCTTAAAAAGAAGATAACACGCGGGAGGATCTCAAGTATGAGTCTTGGGGAGTGGATATAAAGGCAAGTTAATCCGAACCCACTATAAATCTCTGTGTTTATCTGCTTTTTATTTTGCTGATAAGTTTGCGTTGAATTGTTCTTATAGCATTTAGTTAAATCATTCACGAAATGCATAAGTGTTAATTGATAGTTTTCTGTTTGTTAATCGATGTGTAAGTTGATTCTTTGTAAATCTGTTAAAACTCTGGATTTCTGTATTGTGAATTTTAGACCAGTTCCTAATCTGCCTTTTATATTTAGTAGTAATTTCAAATCTAGTTTTAATCAGTTTGTTCTAATCTTGCATACGTCTTTGTGAAGTACGTCTAGAAAATAACAATTATGTCTTCATAGCAGTCTTTCTAATCTTTGTAGCAAAAGCCCTTGGTGAGGAATATTCTTAAACTTGATAATTAATCTGCCTCACAAAACGCTTTCTGTTTCCGCTACTACAACAGAATTCCGATCATGGTGTTTTAATGATAAGAGAATACACTATCCGACCATTGCAAATGTAATATGTTAAAAATGGAATTTGGTAAAGTTGTTAATGAGTTTCTGTTTTTAATCATGTGTAAGCTTTATCTTTGTGAAATCTTAAAACTCTGGATTTCTGTATTGTGATTTTACCAAGTTCTAATCTGTCCTTTTATATTTAGTAGAATTCATAATCTCAGTTTTAATCAGTTTTCTAATCTTGCATAAGCTTTGTGAAGTAGTTCTAAAAATAACAATTATTCTTCATAGAGTCTTTCTAATCTTGCAAAAGCCTTGTGAGGAAATTCTAAACTTGATAATTAACTCTCACAAACGCTTTCTGTTTCCGCTACTACAGAATTCTGATCATGTGTTTTATGATAGAGATACACTATCGACCATGCAAATGTAATAGTATGATTTTGGTGTTATTTCTTTGTACAATCATTTCTATGTAATTGGATATTTGCATTAAATGAATAAACTTTCAGCATATTTTATAATAATGGTGTTAGTACATTTTATATATATCTAACTGGACCAAATAGAGAATGGTTGTGTTATACTGACTTTTAAAACATATTCTCTAGGACATTAGAAATAAAATTTATATTCTTTATCTTGATTTAATTAATATAAGTAAATATACATTACTTTATGCTTTAATTTATTAAAAAATGAGTTTCATTTATCGGGATAATAATTCTTGATGAATTGAATAAAAATAATTTATATTTGTGAAATATTAATTAATGATAAAATTTATATTTCAAATTAAGTAACGATGATGCGCTTTAAATAAACGTATAAATTTCAGCCTTATTTGAATTTCTGTCTACTACACTTATGCAAACGTTCAAACAAAAACAAACAACTCTAGCTGGCCCATTGAGGTACACTCTCACCAATCTTAAAAAGATAACACTTATTAAGCTTTAAAAGGCAAGGTCCACTAAAAAAACCCACAACACATCCAATTCAATGCTATCTTCTGAGCACCCATCATCTACCCTACAATACCTGTTCAATGAAACGACACCTCCAAAAACGACAATCTAGAGAACCCAAAGATATTTTCATATGCACTTTCTTGCCAGCTCGAGCAAAAAGTTCCGATATTTATCACTCGGGGATACCCACATGAGACTTACGTGTGCAACTTTTTGTTCCCTCTTTTTCTTTTTCTAATCCATACTTATCATGTGTTTTGTTACCTAATCATTCGCACATGGGAGTATTGGACTCTCCAATTGCCGAACATTGAAAAGCTCCTCTGTTTTTTAATTCTCATCTTTATATTCCTTTTAATTCCTGATTTTTTCTCTGTTTTCTTATGGAATTCTGTAGAATGATGGAAGATTCTTTGAATTCTGATTCAATACACGCTTTTTTGATTCAAACTTGCGATTTTTGCAATTTGAAAGCTGCAGTTTTGTTCTGTAAAGCTGATTCTGCTAAGCTTTGTTTGGTTTGTGACCAGAAAGTTCATTCTGCAAATGCTTTGTCTCTTAAACATACAAGATCGCTTATTTGTGACAATTGCGGTGATGAATTAGCTTCAATTCAAGGCGTAAATGATAATCTTATTCTCTGCCATGATTGCGACTCTGCTTCTTCCTCTGTTCGTAATCGAATTCCGATTGAAGGCTTTATAGGATGCCCTTCAGCGATCAAGATTGCTTCTTTATTTGGGTTTGATTTGAATCCGAGTTCTTTTACGGACTCGGATTTCGGATTTTGGCAAGAAATGTTAAATCTGCAAGATTTGGTGGTTCCAAGTGGAACTTCCTCTGTTCTTTTAAGGTACGGAGAGTATAGGCGAGAAATGCATGAGCAATTGGTGGACATGGGCAAGAGAGAAACAGAAAAACTAGGGTCTGAGACGACAACCGGTAGATGCGCGCAGCAGGGGAATTCTAAGAGTTTTGAAGTGGCTGTAGACGCTTGGTTTGACAAGCAAATCCCATCTATTTCTTTTCCTATGTTACCAAATCAAGGAGAAGAAGAGGATGCAGGAGAGGATCTTCTGAGAGATTACTATTCTATACATGAGGAGACTCAGGTTTTGGACCAAAAACATTTTCATGAATTACTGTTATACAGAGTATCGTTATGCTTTATTAATTATTATCAAGTTGTTGATGTTGTAATTTTTGCATTGTTCAATTAGATAAACACATGCTTCTTTTCGAATGGTTTAATGGGTTAATTATTAGCCAAAATCAGTGAATTTTGCTTGACAGTTCAATCACAAAGACCTTTGGATTCCAAAATGATAAGTGTTTGTGTAACTCTGTTCTTTTACATAGTGTTTGGTAGAATTTATCTTATTTGTAAATGAATTTCATTAAAAAAATTATCCTTTTGCATTTTCCATGTTTGGTTAAATGAAGATTTCATTTTGAACATGTGCTTTACAAGATTGTATTTATAATTATTTAGCTTTATTAGTTGTATCCATGATAAGTTGGAGTTTATTTGGTTCAATTACAATCAATTTCATAGAATTAAAAAATGTTTCAATTTTTTAAAATTTCAAATGGATTTTCATTCATATCAAACATCTCATTATGGATCTATAAATGATTCCTTAAAATTTTATTCAATTCATTTATACCAAACAAACTCTTAATTTTGTGACAAGCACTCAACTTTAGAGCTCATGTTTTTAATGCACTTGTTGTCCTTGTATTTCCTATGATATACTATAAGAAATAAGGTTCCTGCCTGGCTTCACTTGGTAACTGGATGCGGTAGTTATTGCTGTGACTTTTTTTTTTGGGAAAGAAAATTGTCGTAGTTGTTGATGTTTTTTACTTGCTTCTTTAGATATGGGATTTTCAAACTGGAAGAAGAAGAGATTGTGCACAACCTGGACAAGAAGAAGCTGTATATGATGTAAATGTTCCTGATTTAACAATCAAGAATTGTTGCAACATTACTAAAGAAACTGCTTTTAATACAAGAAAAGTGTTGGATGATACACGCCGAATAAACTGTTTGACACCATTTGAGGATGTACTGTCAAAAAATGTAAGTCTTCTAATGCGGCAAAACTTAAAGTTTGAAAATTTCTATTTCATCATTCCTTTTAAATGATTTATTTGGAAAAACCTTCTTTGCCTTTGCTTTAGAAGACTTTTTATTTGGTTGGCTTTATAAATTAGGATTGGGAAACGTTGTTTTTGGAGAAAACTATATGGACTTCTCCTATTTTCTTTGCAAATGAGGGAAATCAAGAAAAATTTCAAAGGTTACATGAGAGTAATCATTAATTTAATTTATATCTTATGATTCCTTTCCTTCATACATCAAAATGATATTTTGGTTAAGAAAAAGGTGAAGAGGAAGAAAGGAGTGGAACTGGGTTTCTAGAATTCTAGCCAAGATCACAGCTGCAGGTTGCAGATTTGCTGTTCTGCAATTTAACCTTTTAGACTTTCATCATATTGATTTGCATTGGTAAGACCTTAAGGACCAGAAGAAACAAGTGCACAGATAGCTGATAATTGGCTAGATATTTGTAATTTGATTTTATGTGCTCTTTGTGGATTATATAAAGACTTCTATTGAATGGCTTGTCACTGTTGCCTATACATTAAAAGAACACTAAAGGAGATTATTGATATATGTTAGACATATTATCCTTTTTATTTATGCATTCAATTCTTATTCTTATCGATTTGCAGACTTGCTGCAGTCAACAATTGTCAAGGCACACAGCAAGAACAGAAGAAAGTAAAAAGACATCACTAATGGAACTATCATCACAATCCAAGCTGGTCAAGGCCAAAACATGCAGTAGTCCCATCCATTTCCAGGTGGTGGAGAAGCCTCATCCGGCTTGGATTGGAACTTTAGATGAGGTGAGATCCGACTATGACATGGAACTTTTTGCACAGAACAGAGGCAACGCCATGCTACGATACAAGGAGAAGAAGAAAGCTCGAAGGTATACTACTTATCAGTCATTTCTTATACATACTGTATATGTTAAAGCTTATTTCTTTGTCCTTTAAACAACTAATCTACTTCAATTCTTTATTGAATACTATGGAAAAATGAACAGATTTGACAAGCAGATCCGTTATGAATCGAGGAAGGCCAGGGCCGATACAAGGCAGCGAGTGAAAGGTCGTTTTGTGAAGGCAGGTGAAAATTATTGATAAATTATGAGGTAATATAGTATAGTGTTTGTAATAGTATGTTTATTGGCTTTTCTTGTGTGTACATGTTTGATCTTGGATGAGATGGTTTCCCTGAATTTTGTATATATTTCATATATTCTATCTGGTTGCTAACCTCAAAGTGAGTATTCTGTAGGGCACTTACTTCATGGTCCTAGTGTTTTACCCACCCTGGAGGAAGTGCCAGGAAAATTAGTTGTTGGTCACATAATTTCAAGTTCTTATTGAGGAGAGCTCATAGAAACCATTGCAAAGCTTTATGCTGTGTTTTGGAAACCAGACCCGGCCGACTGGTTGAATCAATTAATCAGATATAGTCCAATCATTTATTCATTTTGGTCCATTTCATTTTGTAACTTACTCTTTTTTTATTTTCTCTTTTTCATATTTTGTAGTTTAAAATTCACTAAAACAATTACTTCGGTAATTTTTAGATTTTTCTTACTGGTTTTTTATGGTGTCAAATTTGTTACAACTGTCACCAAAATAAATCAAAGCAATGACCAATCTGGTTCGAGAACACTGGCTTTGGGTTTGCAAGACTTTTTTTTTTAACAGTGATAATATATTTCGTCGCGAATCGAGTACCATAAATTCCAAGTCAAAATAGGCCATCCTTCTATGTAGCATTATGGGAATTTTTATTGAATGAAATATAAATATTTGTTGAGTTTTTAATAGTTCAATGCATACCCACCATCCAACATAAATGCAGCATGGAGGAGTATAAATGTATTATCACCTACTCAAAGGAAACAACTTTGATTCATTTCTAAGTTGAGCATTATAGTTTTCAACTATCACTCATGCATCAAACCAATCAAATAAAATTTTAATGTATAGACTTAGAATAAGCAGAAGGACTCATTCATACACTAATCAAATAAAAACTTTGACTTATCAGTGATCAGTATTCCGAAAATAAGCAAGTCTTATCTATTTTATTTTACATAACTAGACATGCACATGACTCTATTATCATATTATTTTCATCCTGGAAACTTTAGGAAGGTATAAATTTAATAAGTTATGATCCATATATTATTTAATGCGAGTGTGAATTTTCTTAGGAAAAGTAAGAAACTCAGACTTGAAGCAAAGATGACTTTTATAATACTGCTACTCTTAAACTTTGTGACAACATATTGACGTTGATGAGCGAAGACCAATGTTTGAATTTTGGAATTAAAAAAACAAGAATGGAAAATGCATTCATTCACAAATCTTTAACCAATTCAAATTGAAAAGGTGAGTTAGTGCAATGTATTTCACTTTTCTTTAATTAAAACTTGAGAAATGTTTCTTTCCGGAACAATGTTAAAACATTTTTGCATGTAAAGGAGATCACTTGACCTTCTTTTTTGTGAATAGATCCGCCAATGGACTTAATTTCGTAATTTGTTTTTTAACAATTTTATGTGGGTAATTTTCTTCTTTTTATTTTTTAGGTCTTCCAATTTTTGAAGTCTGGTTCTTGCAAAACCCTAGATAATAAACAGGGTGACAGTTCAAATGGGTACAATTGTCTGGTTTGAGCATAATGGAAAGAAACATTACGGAATAGAAGTACATAAACCAGGCTGTCCAGGAAGATGGTAAGTTCATTCATTTTTCTTGGTACTATAATTAATATGTATATTGAAAATGAGATGCAGATGTATAAGAAAACCATGCGTAATTGGCGCTAGATCCATATGCACAGCTCTCTCAATTTAAATATTTTAGAAAGAGACTTTTATTTAACAAGTTACAACTATTTAAAACATAATAACAATTCTTCACTGATCAGTATTTTTAAAACCAGATCAGATTAAAATAATAAAATTTAGGTGTTCAACCATTTTGGTTGTTGATAAAATGCAATACTCACTAATTTACCTTAAATCTGAAGCCATGTGCTACTTTTCAAAAATCAAAACAAGAGAAACCAACGTAGTGCAAATTCAATGCATTGGTTTTGTTAGCATTTGAGGTTTAAAACAGTGAAGATCAACAAACCCATTTTAGATGGATTTAATTTAACAAATACTAATACCAATACACTTTGATTACCAAATTTCAAACCTCCTTTAACTACGCAGACTCCCTCCATGTGAGCTATGTCTCGATCACTGAGCTTCCTATTCCCTGATTCTTTTCTCTCTCTCTCTCTCTGATAATTGAAACATCATCTCACTATTTCTATATGCTTCCGCGAATCTTCATTTCTCTCTTTCCTCTGCAACCAGTAGGTCATTTCTTTTCAACATTTCATCTTTACTTCTCTGCATATTTATTAATTAATGGGTACTGATTTCTAATCATTTTCAGCTTTCGTACTAATTATTTCTCAATTAATGCATCCTTTCTCGATCATTTCTCTTTCTTTTTAATGCTTCAATTATTTTTTCCCTTGTTTATTTTCAATATAGGATGTTAAGTTTGAGAAAAATTTCAAGAAGGGAAAATGGGTTGTACTGCTTCTTTGTATGCTGTTGGGTTGAGAAAGAAGAAGCCGAGTATACCAGAAGTTGTAGTCTATGTTCCTCCAATCAGAATTCCAGTACAATCTGATCTTCAAAGATCACTTAAAGGGTTAATTCCTCAAGATCTTATGGATAGATTGGCTTCTCTTCGTAATCAGATTACTTTAGTAGCAGAGGATACTGGTTTGGCCTTATAGTCCTAATTTTTTTTTTCATTTCTTAAACTGTTTTGTTACTGAGAAAATGTCCAAATGAAGAAAAGAGAATTATGGTTATTGCAGGTGGATCTGCTATAAATGAATTAAATCGAGCATTGGAAGAGTATTTGTCTCTTCTTACTGGACTTACTAAGAAAGGTAGTGTTTTATTTATTTATTTATTTATGTTGTATTTAATTTCTGACCTGCATCTGCATATCTTATGATTCTCGTCACTTGTATATCTACCTCCTAACATGAATTATCGTTGTTGTTGATATCTTGCAGAACATGGTCTCGAGGACTTGGTGGAATTCAAGTGGAAGAATTCGGATGGAAAATATGTAACACTATCAAAACTGTTTCGTTTTGCTATTACTAGTGCAATATTTTATTTGAGTGCCTTTAGACCTATAATTGAAATTGAAATGGCTTAGCAGGAAAACTCTGTGTCAAACTCCTGGTTTGAATTACTATCTGTTGTTCATATGATGGCAATGTTGACTTTATCAGAGGCTAATTCACTTTTGATCCCTAAAGATCACTCTGGTTCTGGCATAAGAGTTGTCTCTTCAGGTTCATATTCTCTATATCCTTAATTGTTTAAACATAAATGTGGTCTTGAATTCTCTGTGGTCGCAACTGAAGATGTATACCACAGATTGTAAGAGGGAAGCTGTTGATTTACTGCTTAAAGCAGCAGGGTTCTTGGAATTCTGCGTTCGGGAAATATCGGTTCGCATTCCACCAGATATTAAGTATGTTTAGAGATTTGTAATTAAGGTTTTTTTTTTTAATTTCTTCAAACTCCAAATCATTGATATTAAATTTGCATCTTTAATTATTTTTTTGCAGGAAAATTTTTTCAAAAGATCTGCAAGATGGTGTACTGGAGGCTTTATCCATTCAAGCACTAGGCCTGGTATATAAAGATGATATACATTTAAACATCAAGCTTTGATTAATATGCTTTAGTGAAGAGATGCTTCGGTCAACTTTTCTGTGTCTTAATAATCAATTCTTAATATGAGTTTGTGGAAACTAATTATGTAGACAAATTCAGGGAACTGAAATTCAGCTTGGTTTAGCCGTTGACAGCCAAAAGGCAACTTTATCAGTAAAGAGGAGGTTGGCATGTGAACAGCTGATTTACTTTAGTCAGGTTTGCTCTTTGGCCTTTATTTTGCGGATTATGTTTCTGGAATATCTGTCTAGATTTCAGGCAGAATAAACCTAAGCAACCTATGTTATTTCTTATGTTGATGTTGTTCTTTTATGCTTGGTTAGGCTTATAGTTGCCTGTCGGGATGTGACATGAATCATGAATATGGGAAGAAGCATCTCTGGTTCATTAAGTGGAAATTCCTTGAAGCGAAGGTGTACACAATCAATTTTATAAATTTACTGCAATTTAGTAAATTTTGCATTTCCTGATTCTGATTATTCCATATGATATAGGGAGCAGCTTACTACTACCATGGGCTGATCCTTGACAAAGGTAATGAACCAGCTTGTCATATTAGTGCTGTATGTTGTTTTCTTGCTGCAGAAGAACTTCTATCAGAAAGCAAGAAAGCTTGCTTAAGCTTTTGCCTTGCAGCTCCTGTTACCAGGTTTGTACTATCATTTACTTATTAATTAATTAAGCTGGAGTTGAGAAAAATCTATATATTGTTCGACTGTGATTCTCCAAATCTTTGTTCTAACTCGTTCTTCATTTTTTTCTTGGCAAGGTCTCCTCCATTGTGGGGTGCTATGAAGCACTTGCATCAGAAAATTCCTGAAGTTGCTTCAAGAAAATCTCAGATGTATGGATACCTATTAGAAGAAGAGAAGTAAGTTGTTTTCTCAAGACTGTTTTGATCCTAACACCACTAGTATATTTAGCATTAACATTATATTCGCATTCTTTATTTATTATTTAGTTATCAAGGTGGAAATTCTTACAAATAATGACAATGGTGTTTCAGGGCTCTACAAACATTACCTGACTTGCCGGATTTCCAACTGTCTTTAAGACCGGACGATTATGTATTGCCTGAAATAAATGAAGCATGGGATAGAGAAAAATGGGAAATCCAGAGCCAATCCTTAAAAGAACATCTCAAAGATTGTGAAGATGAGATTGGAACAGAATAACAAAATTTTAAGACTTCTTCTTTCTGTGTAGCTTAATACATACTTCAATCTTCTTTGTCCTTTGAACTTCAAATCTGATATATTATGTTTGCCAAATCTATGTAAATTATCCATTCCTGTATTATCACCACATTGTGGGTGTGAAATTCGCGTTCATGACCAAATAATGGGCTTTACAAAATTATACAATATTGAATCTGTCATTATATTTTATAATTTTCTCTTACTTGTATCTTAATTTAAAATTTTAGTGTCAACTCTAACCATATGGTAAACTTTATTTAAAAAAAAAAAAGGTAAATAAAGCATTGTAAATAAGTAAATAATTAATAAAGCATTGTAACAATTATTAAACTACATTAATATTTTACATAGATGATTGTAATATTTAGTTTTATACTATAACTTTGTATTAATAACTGCAAAACATCATAAAACTATAATATTTTTTTTTTATATAATCAGAAGGTGTAATCCCCTTCCCTCAAACTCTAGAGCATAAAGGTTTTTCTCATTTTTACAGGGAATTGAGGTCACTTACCACCTCATCAACACTTTATCTGTATCATGAAACTATAAATTACTATTTGTGGTTGGCAAATGGAGACATGAGTTGGTAAGCAGAAACAAATGTAAGTGCAATATAGGAAAAGAAACCCAAATATGATAAGACAACAGAAACCAAGATTTTGTTGCAAAACTTTCCCACACAGTCACAGACTGCATTCCATGCTTGCTTTTCTTCTCCATATCTACCTACATGAGCTATTGCTGTTGCAGCTGCACATCCAGAAGTCAATAGCACCATCATCACCTGCATCCATTTAATTAATTTAATACTACTATTTAAGCTTTCCTTGGTTTATAACTGGGAAATACACTTTCAAGAAAGTTATTTCTCAAGGAGTATAATTTGAATGTGTTTAGTACGCAAATCAACTTTCCGGCAAGTAAATTACTCTCAATTTATAAGAGACAATGTAAATTTAAGTGTATTTAGATGATATGATAAAATTGATAAATCAATTTAAATTAGGGACGTGCAACTTACATACCTCTCCTGTATAAGAGAATAATCTACTTCCGAGAAATAGAACTGGTAATGCAAATCAAACACAAACATTTTATAAACTTTCTAGAAAGTTACACTTTCTAGACCTATCTCTTCCCAACCAAACATCTCTTTAATATTTTTTGGTAGATAAGGGGAGTTAGAGATCAAAGGAACTATTAGATTAATGAACTGAGCCACTATACGCCTAGAGGACTTAAATTTTCTCTTATTTTTTTTTTCTATTTTTTTTTAATGTTTCCCATAATTTCTGGAAGTTAGTTGGTAAAGGGATTAATACTTCAATTGCAGTTAGGTGATACAATTAATAGTTAGATTATACTTTATGTTGCTTTTATTTATTGAAGAAAATCGAAAAAAAATAATGCACTTACCAAATCATGCAAGAACAGGTTAAAGTAATTCAGAGGATGATGAGATACAGATCGGCTCACAAAGGCAAACAAAGCTCAGTGATAGCCCGGAGAAGCCACACGCCACTGAATCTGCACCAAGCGAGAACCTGCAACAAAACTTTTAATTACTAGGTCATTAATATTTAGATATATGAAAATAAAATGAATGTGATAATCAAAATTTGAAATTAAAATATTTTTACACAAATTTTTTTTGAATAAAACTATTCTTTATATACATAAGAAAACCCTAAAAAGAAAATTAAATAACAAGTCAAGATGTAAACTTTTAATCTTGAACTAAGAGGAAATAATATTAAAGATTTCAAGAAAATCAAACTTCTCCTTATCAAGATCCTACTGGCTAGTACTTTTTGTTTGGGATTAACTTATATAGACTGGATCTATGGTCCATTCATATATCAAACCAATGAAAATAATTTTTTTATTGAAATAAGTATATTTTTTTACCATACACTTAGTAAAAAAAAAGAGAATAAAGTCAAAATAATTTTTAAAGATTCTTATTATTATTGGTGTAGTCCATAAATCACGTTATAAACCGGTGGCGTTAAGTCTAATCTCTTTTTCTATTACGATAGAGTTCTGGTTTAAAATAAGAAACACTAAAGTACGTGAAATATCAGGTTTAGTTTTTAACAATAGTTAGAGGCAGAAGAACTGAGTGGTTACTTGAAGGCAGAAGAGTAGCTAAAAGAGCCTCAGTGCTCATTCCATAGACAACGACATTTTGTTTACTAGTAACCATGGCAGAGATTGAAGCCACAAGAAAAGAAAGTGCTAAAGCCCTAAGCATGAACTGGGCCACGAAAAAACTTCTCTTTTGTTGAATTGGGTATGAAAACCCTAAGGACCTGACTTCAAAAATAGCATTATTGGTAATATTCATTTCTTTAGCACTAGTTGCAGCTTCCGTTGCAATGTGTATCCTTAAAATAGCAAGAGGTGGAACTACAATAGCATATTTATAGAGAGAGAGAGAGAGAGAGAGGGAGAGAGATGGGTTTTTGAGCAATTGTCAAAAAAAAAAAAAAAAAAAAAAAAATAAGGTCTAATCTCTTTTTCTATAATAGAGTTTGGTTAAAATAAGAAACACTAAAGTACGTGGAAATATCAGGTTTAAGTTTTTAACAATAGTTTCAGAGGCAGTAAGAACTGAGTGTTAACTTGAAGCCCAGAGTAAGTCTAAAACAGCCCTCCAGTGCTGCATTCCCATAGTAACAACGACATGTTTGTTTACTAGTAACCATGGCAGAGATTTGAAGCCACAAAAAGAAAGTGCGTACAGCCCTAAGCATGAACTGGGGCCAGCAAAAAACTTCGTCTTTTGTTTGAAAAATTCGGGTTAAAAAACCCTAGAGGACCTGACGTAAAATAGCAATTATTGGTAGAAGTTCAAGTTCTTTAGCAACTAAGTTGCATGCTTCCGTTTGCCATGTGGTAATCCTTAAATATAGCCAAGAGGTGGAACTACAAATAGCATATTTAATAGAGAGAGGAGAGAGCGAGAGTGGAGAAGAAGATGGTGTTTTGAGCAATTGTCAAATAATAAAAAAAAAAAAAAAAAAACAGCTAAGGAGAGAAAAAAAAAAAAAAAAAAAAAAAAAACAGCTAAGGAGAGTTTATTTAATATTGGGAAAGCGAGGACAACAATAAAGAAAGGAAATAACTTAGCCACCTAACCTAAATATATGTCAAATGTACGTATAGAAAGAGCATTAAATGCAAATTCAGAAACCAAACTGAATGCGAGAATGTTATACTTATACGGGTAAGGGGTAAGTATTTTTGTTTTGGTTCGGTTGAGCAACCACTTTTTAAGTACGCTTAGTGCTTTGACTATTTTTTATAATATTTATAAAGCGTTTGAATTAGATTTTAGAAATTAAAATAATATTTTATGAAAAGTTAATTCATATAACGTTTGGTTTTTAAGTGTTTCATTAAAAGTTACTTAAATAGTTAATAGCTAATAGCTAAATGCTACTAAAATAGCTAACAACTACAAAAACATCTAATTTTACCGAATAAGCCCTTCGTATCTTAAACTCAAATTTTAAATTAGGCTTCTCGATGATTAATTGGGTTAAGCTAGCAATTAGAGCATCTCTGATGTAAATATTGATTGCTTTAATTTATTTGTCACATCTGAAAAATTGAAAGTTAAAAACAAAAAGTTTGCAAAATTGAAAATTAAAAATAAAAACCTTCTCCAATGCTATTGTCTATTTAGTCTGTGAGTCTGATGTATTAAAAATAAAAAGAAACATTATCTATTATACTCTCTATTTCTAGAGGATTTGCTAGACAGCGTGACTCAGTTTTTTATTCTTTTTTTTCCTATTTATTCATTTTTTCTTATTTTTTATTTTCCTTTATGCATTTTCCTTTATTTGGTTCAAACTTTTTCTTGCGTTGAAACTGATTTTTTATTCGTATATTAGAGAATCATTTTTAAAATCTAACATCTATAAATAAATATTTAATCACATCACCATCCACAGCTTTTATTTATTAAAACACATCACCTGCTATCTGGGATTGCATTGGAGATTCTGTTAGACTTTCGGTGTCATCACTATTTCCTTGGCGAGCAATGCTATAGATAGGATGGTTGTCCACGTTCAAAAATCTCAGCTTTTTTGTAGTATTGAGTCACTGTCAATCTAGCTAATCAGAAGGATTCAGGTATCTTCCTCGTTCAAATTGTTAGTTATATAAAAATCAGAATTATTATGAAAAATAGATTATAAGGTATAATTAATTGATAGAATCAAAAACAATTGGCGAAAATTAAAAAGCATTCAAAAGTAGTTTGCTTTTAAAAATATATTTGGAATAGTTGTGTATTAAAAGAAAATGAAGCGCATCTAATAATCATAATAGAAAAAAAAAATGTATTACGATAAGTCGAAAATAAAATTGCATATGTTTGCCTAAATCTTTTCTTTGAATATATTTGCATCTGCAATACCATATCTTATGGGCTCAATGAAATTAATACGAAAAATTGAAAAAAAACATATTTAACTAAAATATAATTTATATAAATTAATTAGAGATTCAATGAAAGGGAATAAAAAGAATTAAAAATAAATCAATTAGGATGCGATCATATCAACACTAATGTTTTGAATCACATAATAATTCCGAAATTAAACGTGTTTGAATGAGAATTATGTTGAGATGGATAAACTTGGGAAGTCGTTTTGCACAGCTCATTTTAAGATGGTAAAAAGATTAAAAAAAAAAAAAAAAAAAAGGAAGTCGGTTTTGCACAAGCTCATTTTAAGATGGTAAAAGAATTAAAAAAAAAAAAAAAATAAAAAAAAAAAAAAAAAAAGCAAGTGGTTTACACTTTACATTGATTATTAAGCAATATATTTTATAAATATGAAGAAAATCAATTTTTAAATAATATATTGTGAGTTCACTAATAACTTCAAATTAATACAAATAATACAAAGAGATCATAACCCTATCCTCAAGACCAGAAACAAAACAAAACTAAAGTTGTAATAGAACAATTGAGTTTGTTGATCTAATAAGAAAAATCATAATAGAAATTTAGAAGATAAACTTGAAAACATTGATAGACCTTCAAAGGTTAAACAAATTCTTTAAATCTTATGTATGCATCTTATTTTTCATGAAATAGTTGCTTATGATAAACACAAAGAATCTGAATTATTAAATTCAACGGGAAACAGGTTACACTGTTAAGCTCCAAAAGATAAAGATTATCTATTTAATAAATTCTCCACAAATTGCATATATGTTCAAATAAAGACAAACCAAATGTAAAAGAAACAACACAAATACTCCACGTAAAGGAGATGTCACAAACTCCACACAATAATGAGACAAAATACAAAAAAGTAATAGAAACATAAATAACATAAGATTTGTGTGAAATGGACATAAATCTGTGATTTATTTGATAAAAAATATAAATTTGCCAGAGATCAAGAAAAATGAGGGAATAACTGTAATAAAAGACCAGAATCTGCCCATTTTTCATATCTACATGTTTGATTCTTATATTTTGAAGGAGAAAAAAAGAAGAAAAAGAATTTTAATGAAGAATGAGAGAAATATGAAGTAAATTATTTATAACATTGTAAGTAAATTTAGTTATTGAAAAAATTATTTATAACATTGTAAATAAATTTTAGTTATTGAAAAATTTGTTTGACTAGCTCAATTCGATGGAAAAAATAATGGGGATGGTTACAAAAAAATTTAATCACCCTAAGTAAAATGCTAAATGTTAGGTTGTTTTATGTTTGACTAAAAAACTTCCTCAACCTCTAATTTAAAATCTATTATAAATAGTATGTTACCGAATAGATAAAATTAACTCAAAAAAGTAATTATCCAACTCTATAATTTTTTTTATCAAATACAGAGATGATATAAATATTTTAAATTATTACCAAAAATCATATAGCCCTGTTGCATGCTTAAATTATTATTAAACTAGGCGGTTTCCCACGCTTTATACGGCTGTATAATATATTTAAGAGATGATATAAATATTTTAAATTATTACCAAAAATCATATAGCCCTGTTGCATGCTTAAATTATTATTAAACTAGGCGGTTTCCCACGCTTTATACGGCTGTATAATATATTTAATTTTGAGTTATAAAATATGTATATTGAATAAATTGTTAAAAAATTTAAAGTGCGGATAATGCATAGGGAGTATGATTCAAATGTATTATGCAAAATTGAAAACTTTTATTCTAGCTATTGAATGAGTTATTCATGCAAAGGAAAACGAATGCTAATTTAATATTTATAGGTGGCCAATTGAAATAGAGAAAACATATTAAAATATAAACATGAAATACTGATGGAAAATTAGTGAGAACTTATATCCCTTGCAATTCATATTTGATATTTTTTTTTGTAATACATTTTTTATCCATATTTATATTTATTTATTTTGATTTTTTATTTTATAAAATATTATTTTAGGCTAATTTATAAACAAATCATCATTTAGAAGTGGAACCGGTTTTAATTTTACAAAGTCGCATTTTATATTTTAAGACCAATATGATTATTCTAAATAAAAAAATTAATGTAATAAGTACAAAATATATAGTGAGTGTTTCTATTTACAGGATTGATCAATGTGTGAGAAGTAGACAACAATGCTAAAAAAAATGTCAAAAAACTCATTTGCTATATTTGAAATACCTATATTTCTAATTTGGAGACTCCAATGAACTGGACTATAATGTTTAACATTTTCTCAGGTAATCTATATATGTTATTGAAAGACCATTCTATCAAATTTAAAATATACATCCTAAAATACTTGACAGGAGACATTGCTTAACAATCTCATAAAGAATTAATAACAAAGAATATTAGAAGTCATTGTATTTAAAATTCACTTATAAATTAGAGAGAGAATTTTTAATAAAAAACATGTTTTTTCTTCAAAAATTTACAACTTTTTCCTCCAATTAATTAAGCAAATACTAAAATATTAGAGACTCTCTCTTTCTAAAAAAGTGTCATGTCAATATCCAACAAAAACCCATGATTCTCCTTTATTATATATAATAATGATTTGCTTGCTCCATAATCGAGTGTACAATAATTTTGTTAAAAAAATAAAAATGCATATCATAATATTTTTATTTTTCTTTAAATATATAATATATAATAATTAATAATTAATAATACCAGTCTTTTATATGACTTGCGTTGCATTTTTTACTATGCTCATTATATACTCATATTTTGTACTCTTTTAATTTTTTTATCTATATAATACAAAGGCATAAGTTTTTATTTAGATTAAAATAAATGCATTAGTTAATTTTAAAAAAATATATTCAATCAAATCACACAATTATAAAGAAAAAGTGAATATTAAAATATTAATAAAAGAATATACTTTTTTTCTTTTTTATCTCTCTGTTAAATAAAATATTATGTATATTCTACTTAAAGATTATTTGGAAA